TGTACTTTACACCCAATCAAAAAAAAAAAAAAAAAAAAAAAAGTTTAAAATTATCATTTACTATTGTGCCAATAGTTCGAATAAATCGAAGGCTCGAATCATTCGAACCATTCGTATAGCATTCGAATTTTGTTATCTAATCGAATTCGAATCGAATTTGAGCTTACCTCATTCGAATCGAATTCGTATCAGTGAAATTCGATTCGAATGGTTCGGATAGGAGCACTGCTATATACTGTCACATGGCTTTTGTACACGCCTCTTTGCTGTCAATCCTAACTCCTTGAGCCGTCGTCTAACGGTGGTCTCAGAAACAGCCGCTGGTATGAGCTGGTTGGCTCTGACGGTGGCCTCAACTGCAGAGTTGAGTGTACCTCGTTTCATGTTCGCCTTAAGATACTGCATGATACCTCTAGGTACTTTCCTTGGTCGACCGCCTTTATTGACTGGCATGTACTCCTTATTATGTGCATAGATCCTGGTGGCCGTCGCTATTGATATACCAACACTAGCAGCAGTTTCTCTAGTAGACATGCCTCCCATCATTAGCCTCCTGGCTTCGTTGACTTTCCTTTGTGGAGTGGGTCTCATATTCTGTGAAGGTATAGTTAAGAGAGAGTTAAGCAGGTGTTCATAAAGGAAAGAGAGAAAAGTCCTTTTTTTACTGGCATTAAATGACGTCCAAAAGTTGTCATGGGCAACATTTTAGACCACATGTGAAACTGATTCAATGACCTGCATGAACAAAAAAGTCATTAGCTATTCAAATGAGACAAGCTAATGTCACAACGCATCACTATGACGTAGAAGAAGACGGGAGCTTTATTAAACCAAAGTATGAGTGGTGTATGCATATACAGTTTCTAGGAATGAAAAAAAGAAATGCACATGGGAATGAATTATTGAATCAGTTTTGCATGATAGTGTATCTTGGGTTGATACGCCAGCGATGGCTGCCAAGGTTGATCCTATAGCGCGTGGCTTTGGAGGAGGCCGTTTCGACGGAAGATTTGGAATTCGACGTGTGATTTCATTCATAAAAGTGCCTATGGTACTGACCCTAAGGACTTTAGACTTGTCTTTCACAAAGCGCATAAGAGGATTGAATTTATAATCCTGATCTTTGTGGTGCTCGATTTCGAGAGGTGTGTCCGCTATCCGTCTGGTGTATTCTGTATAGGCCTCGACTGGGCAAATTTTCTTGTCGTTAGGGTGTCTACCTACGAAGGTCGACTTTATGATGCGCTGCCCATCGCGTCGCTCCTTAGGGAAGACTATGGTAAGGAGAAGACCCTTTTCACTGGTCTCTGACTTTGACACATCGATGCAACCGATATCATCTGGCCGGAGAAACGCACAAACGCCTAAGAGCCAGCAGAGCTTGCGAGAGAGCTTAGGCATATCAAGATCCACATTGTCCTCCATGCGGAAGTATGAAAGGATGGGTGAAATGTCGAGTGCGGATACGTGCTCCATTTGAAATACGCCAGTACTTTTCATTGCTGCCATGAACCGCTGAAAGTAGATATTGCCTGTGATCACGGATGTGTCGTCGTAAAGCTTTAAGATGGCTGATTTTTTGTTAAGAGTGGTATTCCTACTCCAAGAATAGATAATCCGCGCATGGCATAAATAGTTAACTACAGCAATTGCATTTGGCGTACTAGGGTCGAAGCCTTCTTGTTGAGCCCATACTGCGAAAGCCTCTTGAGTTGGCAGATATTGTCGACGTGTTTTGCTGTTGGCACCTGCTGAATCTAGTAGAGTGATAGCGGATGGTGAGAGTCCTGCATCTAGATCTTTACGTCGCCTCTTATTCTCCATGCTGTCAATGACCAGAGTGGATTCTTGCTGAGGAGATCGCTTGCGCTTCCGACGGCTGGTAGGACTGCTTCCCGAGGGATCGGGATTGGTGGTGCTACTGCCATCTCCTTGATGGTTGGGAACCATATTGCACTCGGCCACCATGGGGTTATTACTGTTGCTGTCAGTTTCTGGGTCTGTATCCTCTCCAAGATGATTGATAGAAGATTCCATGGGGGGCAAATGTAAAGGTTGCCCATCTCTGTCCAGTTGTGTTGAAGGGCGTCTATCTTCAGAGCATCTGGATGGAATTTCCATGAGACAAATGTCGGTAGCTGTTTGTTCTGTGCCGACGCAAATAGGTCCACCTGATGTGGCCCCCATTGGTGTTCCAGTTGTTGAAAGAATGGGCGACTGATCCTCCATTCCAATTGCGATATCATTCGCCGTGACGGTGCATCCGCTGGGTTGAATGCAGATGGGATGTATGTCGTCCGAAGTCGAGTCCCCGTTGCTAGGCAGTGACGCCATAACGTGTCCGCTAGTCTCATTAGTTCCGGAGACCTCGTCCCTCCGAACCTGTTGATGTGTGCAATCGTTGTCGTGTTGTCGCATATGATGTTGATCATTTTGCCCTGTGTTATTGGTAGTTGAACAGCTCGAAGAACTGTCTGTAGTTCCTTCCAGTTGATGTGGTGGTCTTTCTCTTGTGGAGTCCATTTGCCACTCCATGTTTGATTGTTGATCACGATCCCCCATCCGGTGTCCGATGCATCCGTGTATATGTCCATTTGTGTCTGTTGTTGAATCCATGACAGACCATTCCATGACGTCAATTGCTCCTTCCACCATTGAAGGTTCTCCTTGGCTGGTTCCGTGAGGGTGACCGTGTCCGACCAAGAAGCTCCCTTGGCTTTTAGTGCTGTGTTCTTGAGGTGAAGCAGATTCCGTGTCATGAATCGCGCTGGGAACACTGCCATAGATGTTGCCATTGCTTTCCCGACGAACGAAGAAAGTTCCCTTAAAGAAGTGGCGCCTTTTCGTAGTAGCTTTCCTGCCTCGCGCCGTATGTCCCTGACTTTGGATTTCGGAACTGTGACAGTCATATCCCGGGAGTTGATGGTGAAGCCTAAATGGTCTATTTTCTGTGACGGGATCAACGTAGACTTGGCTTCCTTGATGAGGAATCCTAGCGCTGCCAACTTGTCTTGCACTAGTTGAGTGAACTGGATTGATTGTTCTTTGTTCTTGGCTAGGATTATCAAATCGTCTAGGTACGCTGATATGCGAATTCCTCGTCGTCGTGCCCATTTGAGGAAAGGCTTGAGAACTTTGGTGAACACTAGCGGAGAGAGTGAGAGCCCGAAGGGAAGTGTACGGAATTGAAATTTCCGGTTCTTCCATTGGAACTGTAGATAATGACGATAATCTGGATGGATTAGTACGTGAAGAAATGCGTCTGATAGGTCGATGCTTGTCATAAAGTCGTTCTTCTGTAACATTGCGCATACTGTCGTCATCGTCTCCATTTTGAAGTGCCGCTCTGAGACGTAGGCATTCAACGGTCTTAGATTTAAGACTGGACGAATGTCCCCGGTTTTCTTGGGGATAGTGAATATTCGGCTCTTGAAACCAGGGCCCGAAGCGACCTCTATTGCTCTTTTGGCTAAGAGTGCGATTACCTCTTGATCGATCGCCTTCTCTTCCTCCGCTGCTACTCGAGCTTGGTACGCTGTTGAACTGGATATCGGTGGCCGTTTGTGGAAAGGGATTTTGGATCCCTCGGAGACGACCGACTTGACCCATTCGTTGTCGGTTATGAGAGCCCATGCTTCTCTGTAAATCTGTAAACGGCCACCTACTGCTGGCCTGCAGTCTGTGCCTGACTTGTCTGGTTGGATTGAGGGGTTTGGTAGCCTCGGCCTCGGCCTCGTCCCCCTCTCCTTGGATTTTGGCCTCGCCCAAAAAAAGAACCATTGTCATTTTGATAGTGGGCGGTCTGAGTTTGACCCGATGGATGAGATTGGCTAGAATTAGAAGTGGGTCTGTAAGTATTTGCGCTAAAGAAACTCCGGTTTTGAGTCCTCCTGTTGTACGCCCGTTGTCTTGTCGGGTTAGTAGCCTGACGAACACTCTTTGCCAATTTGCTGGCTTCAATGAAGTCTGAAGTAGAGACAATTGGTGGATCAACTGTGTCCTTGGTGACTGAAATTTTGTGCGCTTGGTAAACAAGGTCCTCCCTGTCGCTTGACATTTGCTGTGCAAGGTGTGCAATATGTTCACGCATTGTCTGTGCGAGCTGTAAACACGCTTGTGCGACCGCAGGGTCAACTTCGTAGGAAAACATTTCCGTGGCAAATTGATCAAGTGGTCTTGTAAGGTTTGCCAATCGTGATTGATAGCGTGAGATTGTTTTGTCCATGGAACTGTGGTGAGAGGAAGAGTCGGGCCAGTCAATGAGTGCCGATTTGGGTGCAGAATAGGTTTGGGTTGTGTTTTTGGCAAAAGACTGCATCTCTTTAGCCATTTCTGTTGCATATGCAAGATCGTCTGCACGGTTTCCAGATTTATGTTTGAAAAAATCTTTCCCGTCCATTGCTGGGTAGTGGACGAGAATGGAGTCGTCAGGTGTAATTTCGTAAGCTGGTTCTTTTGGAACCAAGTAGGGGTTCGATCGACTGGATTCAGAGCTAGTCGAGAGAGCCTCAAGCCGGCTGGTGAGTGTAGCCAGCTGGCTCTGGAGAGAGTGTATAATTGGATCAGAAGTGTCATACTCGCTCATTTGGAACTTCAATACGCTGGATGTGTTCCTGAGCGAGAAAAAAGAAGATAGAGAGTAGATCAGAGCGAACGCTAGATTTTATTTATTTTATTTTTAGTTTTTTCTCGGTCAGAAGGAATAAAAAGAGGTCACACATATGGACCATGGCTACGAGGATAATGTATGTATTACATATAATTGTATGATGGATGATGGGAATAAAAACGCGTGTACGTAATTTTATTTTTAGTGAGCACATCCTATTGCCACTCTTTTTTTTTTCTCACACATCCATCTTTCTTTCTTTCATCCCTCTTCCTCTAAGCATTTCTCTTTCAATCTTCACATTAACGCCAACATTCTTGCTCAGTTCACTTTAATCAAATTCGCTCTTGCTGATTTACTGTCAATTACTTTTTTTTTTTTTTTTTTTTTTTTTTTCAGTACGCAATTAAACCAAGATGACTCAAAAAATTAAGCTCTTTTGTATTCTCGACGGCGACTCTTCCGCATTTGAAGTCCAATTGGATGCTGATGACTCAATTGCTGCTCTCAAAGATGCAATCAAGAAGAAGAACGAACCTCAATTCGACGACATTGCAGCTGGCAAATTGAATCTCTTCCACGTCTCTGTTCCTGATGAGGGCGCTACAATCAATCTCGCCAATATTGAATCAAAGGAGCTACTCACCAGAGCAACAAGCAAGATCTCAAAGATATTTGGCACATCGCCTCTGCCTGAGGAGACTATCAACGTCATTATTCAGCGGCCATTGGAAGGTAAGGGATTGGCTATTTGTTCTCAAACTTTTGTGTATGACATCATAGTCTGCAATTGCGTCTTTTTGATTGCTGCTTCCATTTTGAGCTTATTTAAATTCTAATTGCTTGCTACTGCGGCATGCAAGCATTTAATTACTTGCCATGTGGTGACGCTTGTTCTAATCATTGATTATGTCTAATGATCCATCGTTTTTTATTTTTGGTTTTGCATTATTGCGGTTTAGATCCGTCTACTTCCACTTCGAGTAAGACTCATTTGTTTAATTGGTTCTCTTCTTTTTTCAAAAGGTTAATCATCGCACATGTGCTTGACGACTCCCTCTGATGCTTTTTCTTTTTCTTTTTCTTTTTTTCTTGCCAATTTCTATCATTGCTTCCTTTACCAACAGACTCGGAGAAAAAAAGGAGGGCCGATGACTTATGTAAGCTAATTCTCCCTTAATGATTGGAAACCGATTCTTTATTTTTCTCTTCTGACAGGTCTTGCTGTTTTTTTTTTTTTTTTTTTTTTTTTTAGTGCCGCCAGTTTTGAAAAAGAAGAAGTGGACCGTCAATGGACCGATCAGATTCGACGCTGTTAATCAAGTCTACTATGTGGATCCTGCGGAACATGACGACAATAAGAAAATACTACAGAGCGTTTTTGACCGCGAGATAGTGATGCTCATAGGCGCACGTGCCTCTGGAAAAACAACACGGTTGTATCGACTTATCACCCAATTAACTGACTTTGGGTATCGCTGCCTCCCGTAAGCCAACTTCCGCGAAAATGGATAAAGTGGATGCAATTTATGTGCTATTGTACCGGTACTAACCTTATATTTTTCATTTAGACTATCATTTGAGGAAGTTAACGTTCGCAATAATGAGTCTGATTTCTGGGGGACTTTTGGTGATGCTCTTCGTTTCAGCTATAAAGCGGTCAGTGTTATTACAACCCAACGAGAATTCCTCAATGCTTTCAGTCAAATTGAACTCAAGGACGAGAAGTTTGTCATCTTGATTGATGAGTTTGATGAACTGTTCAAAGCAGGTGATGAAGTCAGAAATATTTTTTTGAAAACACTCCGAGCAATGAGTAGAAACAATGCCTACGCCATTCACAGTGTTATCGTATGTGGAACCTTTAGTCTTCAGCGCCTTCGGACAACAGATCAACACATATCCCCGTTCAATGTCAACAATACTATCAGGAACCCGTATTTCACTCTTGATCAAACGCAGCAGCTCTTTAATGACTATGCGAAGGATGAGATGATTAAAATAGATGATGAGATTATTCGAGACATACACTGGAAGTCAAATGGGTATGTTTTTTAAGCTTAGTTAACTCTCCACGAGTTGATGTGCCATTCTAATACAATGAATTGTGCTCAATGTCAATAGTCATCCAGGAATGATTTGTCTTTGTGGACGCTCCATTCATGAGGATCTTCGCTCGAAAGTCAACGGCTCGACGAAATGTCTCGATTACGATACATGGCAGGACTTCTCCATAGACAATCAGAATGAGAGGATGTTTTCGTACCATACTTTTAGAAGGATGGTTGATTCACTTTTGAATGAATCAGCTACAGATGCTGTTAATCTTCTCCGAACAGATTTTATTGGGTATCTCGGCGATATATCTATCACAGACATGGAACAACAGAGATTGGCAGACTTCCTAACTGCAGAAGGGGTGCTGATAAGACTTGATGGCAGTAACTACCGTATGGCCTCAGCATTCATTGACTCGTTTGTGAGGAGATATATTATCCCATTAAAATATCCTCACGCTCCTTCAGAGTCACCCCCAAAGAAAAGAGGAGGATCATTGGATATTCTAGAGATTATGAAGATTGCTCTTCGATTTTTCGATAGAGACTTGATTTTGCAGGCGGAAGATCGATCATACAAAAGATCGGGGAGAACAGTTAAGGTTATGGGCGACTACAACGCCAGTGTCCCTCGAGAAAGCGTCTATGACACGGAATTGATGAGAGTTCTCACCAACTGGCTAAACAAAACAAAAAAATATGAGATCATTGGCCAGTGGCACCTCCGTGAGCTTGAGGACCACAAATATAGTGATATTGTCATCAAGAAAGCAGGAGAGCCGACGGTTGTTATCGAGCTTTTGGCTACAGGAAGTCAATCTTCTATTAAGGACCATATCAGCAAGACGTCAACTTACAAACGTTTACTCTCAGCAGAAGAAGCTTGGGTTGTTCATTTTACCTGTGAGGACGACTATTTTAAGCACCCATACTGGCAAAACGACGCGGAACTGGACCAAGGGGTGAATTTGGTGCATTTCTGGCACGATGGGGATTTTAATACAGTGCGGATGAGTGCTCGCTGGAAGGACAGTGGCAATACTCAAAGAATTGACAATGAGCTGTTGACTGTCTAACAGCAATTCTATTTTTTTTTTACCCAACATTGTAAGGACGTCCCATTTTGTTGACATGGGCTTTATAATTTTGCAGATCTGTTTAAATAGCTGTTACTTTGTATATTTCGCATTGATTGCATTAAAACACTCTCTCTTCATTAATGACCAACAATTTACTTTATGTATCTATACCTTAATCTATACACTATCATGCAAAACTGATTCAATAATTCATTCCCATGTCCATTTCTTTTTCTCATTCCTAGAAACCGTATTTGCATACACCACTCATACTTTGGTTTAATAAAGCTCCCGTCTTCTTCTTCGTCGTAGTTATGCGTTGTGACATTAGCTTGTCTCATTTGGAAAGCTAATGGCTTTTTTATTCATGCAGGTCACTTTTTCAGTTTTGCATGTGGTCTAAAATGTTGCCCATGACAACTGCTGGAAGTCATTTAATGCAAGTAAAAGAAGGATTTTTCTCTCTTTCCTTTATGAACACTAGCTTAGCTCTCTCTTAACTCTATCTTCGCAGAATATGAGACCCACTCCACAAAGGAAAGTCAACGAGACATACTTTATTTGCTCAAAACCTATTAGCGCTCCTGCTTGTTTCTGATAGCTTTTATTACTTTGAAATTTTCCTCTCATTTGGACAATTTTTTAACCATCGTTTTTTTCCACCTATCAAAACCTCGTATTGCCCCCCTTCGCCCTAATGACTGCTAGCATCCGCTCAGGCATACTTCTTATCAAATTGCGGCAGACCTCCTTCGGCGTCTCCTCCTCCCATATCTGGCCCACTCTTTCCCAGAGTTCCAGCATGCCTTCTGGAATGGTCCCATGTTCGCGAATTTTTTGATTTAAGTGATACCACAAATGCTCTATAGGGTTCAGGTCTGGTGAATTGGCAGGCCATGTTAGTATTCTACCTGACGCCCTTGTCAATCCAATAGAGGCAAGGTAGGTTGTGACTCTCTTAGCCGTATGCTTAGAATCATTGTCTTGTTGGAAGATAAATTGCTCTGGATCAATGTTGTACCAATCCACAGTATTCAATAGCTCGTCCTGGAGGATACGAATATACAGCTCGGAGTCCAGCGTGGAGTCGATCTTGGCCAAGTAGCCTGGCCCATCCCACGTCATGCAGCCCCAAACCATGATCGAACCACCACCATGTTTGACTGTGGGCGAAACTAACTTTGGGTCAATATCGGCCGCCTTCACCTTTGGTTCTTTATTTGTTTCCACCCAAACATAGCGCATGCCATCAGGAGATATCCTACAAATTTTGGACTCATCGGACCAAATTACTCGCTTCCAATCAGCTTCGGTCCAGTCTTTGTGCTGGAGAGCAAAGTCCAGTCGAGCTTCCTTTTGACGTTTTGTTAGCCTAGGCTTCTTGACGGCTTTTTTAGCTTCCAGGCCTATATCTCTCAGCGCCCGACGCACCGTATTAGCTGACACCGGATCTTCGTTCTCATCGTTATAGAGTCTGGTAGCATGAACATGTCACGAACAGCAAGCAATGTCTAGCTCATGAATTGATGAATGACTTTTGTCTGATTCGAATCTGAAAAAGATAACGTGTGCTTGATTAATTTGTTCCGCTCATTTCCTTCACTCATGCAAGCGAAATCACTATAATAATTTTGTGCAACATAGTATTTCGCCCATATTTCTAGAGCATTCCTTGCAACAGGATATTAACTAGTATAAATAGGTCTACTTTCTATCTAGTTCTGCAGCATAGTTCCCCCTGAATAAAGATACCTTTATTGCACCCTTAGATCCCCCTACAGTGGTCATCAAAAGTCATTCAATGATTTTGAATTTTTAACATTCTCATTCCTTTTCTTCATTCTCATCTAGCATGTGGCTAGTATATTTGGGGTAGTGCATTTGTTCCCCACACCTCATGATTACTTTCATGTCTCATTCCCAATTATGACTTCATTGTGAAATAAAACCAATTTCAATTTGACCTGCCTATTGAATGACTTCTGCTGAATTTTAATGTTGATTGCAAAAAAAACTTTTTCACTTCTCTTTTTTCTACCAAGATTACCTTCAGCTATATCTTCATACACCTCTACTTACAATTAACATTCCACATCGTTTAGTATTTATTATGAGGACGCTTTCTATGGAAAAGGTACAAAATGCTCAGGCCTTACTTCGACAAGGGAAGTCTACAAGCGAAGTGGCAAGGCAACTTGGTATCTCTATTTCATCGGCAATAAGGATCAGGAGGGACGTCAAGGACAATATTCCTAAACCCAGAATGGGCAGACCCTCATTGGTTTCCCCTGCTACCAAGAGGGTTATTGCACGCGAGGTTGATACGGGGAAACTTAGATCCATTCTGGCAGTTCAAGAATACATCAGATCGAGCCATGGAGTGCATGTCAGTGTAGAGACTGCCCGACGCTATCTAAAATCAGAGGGTTTGAAAAACTATGTCCGCCCATTCAAGCCTAGGCTGACAAAAATGCAGATTGCGAAAAGGAAGAATTTTGCCCTCAACCACCTTGACTGGACTGTTGATGACTGGAAGCGAGTGATGTTCTCGGACGAAAAGCTTTTTGAAAGGCTAGGGTCCTTAGGAGGAAGAACACAATATAGGCGACCCGGCCACAGGACTTTAGAAGATCGAGATGTTAGAGAGAGATCAAGGGGAGCACATAACAAACTTATGTGGTGGGGCTGTATCACTTATCATGGTGTAGGCGATGGTTGCAGGATCCCTGTCACAGTTGATTCCTCTTTATATGTTGATGTTCTACAAGATTATGTCCTCGGCTCATGGAAGTGGTATGGCCAGGACCCTGAAAAGTTAATTTTTCAGCAGGACAATGCAAGTGTTCATACGAGTAGGATGGTTAAAGAGTTCTTAATTAAGTCACACATTACCACTTTGGAGTGGCCTCCAAATTCTCCTGACCTCAACCCTATCGAGAATGTATGGGCCTACATGGATCATCGGCTCAAGGGATATGAGAAGGTACCAAAGGATCCGGATGAACTATGGGAAAGACTACAGGATATCTGGACATCTATTCCACCTGACTTCCTTGATGAGCTATATGAAAGCATGCCACGAAGGGTAGAGGAGCTACATCGCATGAAAGGAGGTCGTACACATTACTGAAGAACAGAAAAAAAAACAAATAAAGCAAAGCTGATTTTCTTCAAATGTCATTCAATGAGATGCCAATAATTGGCATTCATCTAAATTTTCAATTAGCAACAGGAGCTCATTGTCATTGTAGTAGGAGTGACATTGTCGATGGTCGAACTCGCTACGTAAGTTTCATTAGCGACAAGCAAAATCAAATTGGAGAAAGGAATGAGAATATCGAAATTCCTAATTCATTGAATGACTTTTGATGACCACTGTAGAACACTACCTTGACTTTTGCAACTCATTCCTCCATGCATAGTTTGCCTGTCAAGCCAAGTCGCGTCTCCTAGTTTTCTAGCTCCGTGAATAGCTCCAAGGATTCTAGAAGAGCTATAAACCAATAACCAAGGCTTATAGTGCCAAGGAACCTTGAAATAAGATTGCACCAGACATCTTCCTCGGATCCTGTGTATTAAGTTAACTCAACACTTGGAGTTCCGCATGTGGTAAAAGTCCTTAGGAAATTTTTGAGTAAGCTTTATTTAGAGTTCTTGAAGCGTGTCTCCTCTTCAGTCAAACAAGTATAAATATGATAGACTTGTAACATAGTAAACCTCAGTCTGCAATAAAACTATTCTTGAATCTCCAATGTTCATTCATGTTCCTAAATCACTTTCCTTCTCTTGCAATCGTCCTGTCAGTCCTTGACACGAAGAAGTCTCTGGGCACAATTTTGACAAGGTGAAAACAGCTGCCGAAGTGGCTGAGCACTGTTTTGACAAGGTGAAAAGAGCTGCAGAGCTGTTTTGACAACAGCCGAAGTCTCTGGGCACAATTTTGACAAGGTGAAACCAGCTGCCGAAGTGGCTGAGCACTGTTTTGACAAGGTGAAAAGAGCTGCAGAGCTGTTTTGACAACAGCCGAAGTCTCTGGGCACAATTTTGACAAGGTGAAAAGAGCTGCAGAGCTGTTTTGACAACAGCCGAAGTCTCTGGGCACAATTTTGACAAGGTGAAACCAGCTGCCGAAGTGGCTGAGCACTGTTTTGACAAGGTGAAAAGAGCTGCAGAGCTGTTTTGACAACAGCCGAAGTCTCTGGGCACAATTTTGACAAGGTGAAAAGAGCTGCAGAGCTGTTTTGACAACAGCCGAAGTCTCTGGGCACAATTTTGACAAGGTGAAAACAGCTGCCGAAGTGGCTGAGCACTGTTTTGACAAGGTGAAAAGAGCTGCAGAGCTGTTTTGACAACAGCCGAAGTCTCTGGGCACAATTTTGACAAGGTGAAAACCGCTGCCGAAGTGGCTGAGCACTGTTTTGACAAGGTGAAAAGAGCTGCAGAGCTGTTTTGACAACAGCCGAAGTCTCTGGGCACAATTTTGACAAGGTGAAACCAGCTGCCGAAGTGGCTGAGCACTGTTTTGACAAGGTGGAAAGAGCTGCAGAGCTGTTTTGACTACAGCCGAAGTCTCTGGGCACAATTTTGACAAGGTGAAACCAGCTGCCGAAGTGGCTGAGCACTGTTTTGACAAGGTGAAAAGAGCTGCAGAGCTGTTTTGACAACAGCCGAAGTCTCTGGGCACAATTTTGACAAGGTGAAAACCGCTGCCGAAGTGGCTGAGCACTGTTTTGACAAGGTGAAAAGAGCTGCAGAGCTGTTTTGACAACAGCCGAAGTCTCTGGGCACAATTTTGACAAGGTGAAAAGAGCTGCAGAGCTGTTTTGACAACAGCCGAAGTCTCTGGGCACAATTTTGACAAGGTGAAACCAGCTGCCGAAGTGGCTGAGCACTGTTTTGACAAGGTGGAAAGAGCTGCAGAGCTGTTTTGACAACAGCCGAAGTCTCTGGGCACAATTTTGACAAGGTGAAAACAGCTGCCGAAGTGGCTGAGCACTGTTTTGACAAGGTGAAAAGAGCTGCAGAGCTGTTTTGACAACAGCCGAAGTCTCTGGGCACAATTTTGACAAGGTGAAAACAGCTGCCGAAGTGGCTGAGCACTGTTTTGACAAGGTGGAAAGAGCTGCAGAGCTGTTTTGACAACAGCCGAAGTCTCTGGGCACAATTTTGACAAGGTGAAAAGAGCTGCAGAGCTGTTTTGACAACAGCCGAAGTCTCTGGGCACAATTTTGACAAGGTGAAAACCGCTGCCGAAGTGGCTGAGCACTGTTTTGACAAGGTGAAAAGAGCTGCAGAGCTGTTTTGACAACAGCCGAAGTCTCTGGGCACAATTTTGACAAGGTGAAAACAGCTGCCGAAGTGGCTGAGCACTGTTTTGACAAGGTGGAAAGAGCTGCAGAGCTGTTTTGACAACAGCCGAAGTCTCTGGGCACAATTTTGACAAGGTGAAAACAGCTGCCGAAGTGGCTGAGCACTGTTTTGACAAGGTGAAAAGAGCTGCAGAGCTGTTTTGACAACAGCCGAAGTCTCTGGGCACAATTTTGACAAGGTGAAACCAGCTGCCGAAGTGGCTGAGCACTGTTTTGACAAGGTGAAAAGAGCTGCAGAGCTGTTTTGACAACAGCCGAAGTCTCTGGGCACAATTTTGACAAGGTGAAAACAGCTGCCGAAGTGGCTGAGCACTGTTTTGACAAGGTGAAAAGAGCTGCAGAGCTGTTTTGACAACAGCCGAAGTCTCTGGGCACAATTTTGACAAGGTGAAAACAGCTGCCGAAGTGGCTGAGCACTGTTTTGACAAGGTGAAAAGAGCTGCAGAGCTGTTTTGACAACAGCCGAAGTCTCTGGGCACAATTTTGACAAGGTGAAAAGAGCTGCAGAGCTGTTTTGACAACAGCCGAAGTCTCTGGGCACAATTTTGACAAGGTGAAAACAGCTGCCGAAGTGGCTGAGCACTGTTTTGACAAGGTGAAAAGAGCTGCAGAGCTGTTTTGACAACAGCCGAAGTCTCTGGGCACAATTTTGACAAGGTGAAAAGAGCTGCAGAGCTGTTTTGACAACAGCCGAAGTCTCTGGGCACAATTTTGACAAGGTGAAAACAGCTGCCGAAGTGGCTGAGCACTGTTTTGACAAGGTGAAAAGAGCTGCAGAGCTGTTTTGACAACAGCCGAAGTCTCTGGGCACAATTTTGACAAGGTGAAAACAGCTGCCGAAGTGGCTGAGCACTGTTTTGACAAGGTGAAAAGAGCTGCAGAGCTGTTTTGACAACAGCCGAAGTCTCTGGGCACAATTTTGACAAGGTGAAAACAGCTGCCGAAGTGGCTGAGCACTGTTTTGACAAGGTGAAAAGAGCTGCAGAGCTGTTTTG